GGAGAATTTCTTTCAAATGGTGATTCGTCCTTTCGGACTCATTCTGCTGCCGCCTGTTCTTTGGGCTGCTCTTGTTCAAGCAGCTACAATTGGATTCCTGGTCGCCGTGACATCCAACGTTGACCCAGCCTTTGAGCAGACGTACCATTTCAAGCCGTATCAAGTAGGACTGTGCTTCATATCTGCCATTATTGGGTCATTGCTCGGCATCCCGGCCGGGGGGCATTTTGGCGATATTGTGGCGGATCATCTTACCAAACGAAACGGTGGAATCCGCGAGCCCGAGATGCGACTCCCAGCTGTTACGTTGTCTGTCTTAACATCCCCGCTGGCGCTCGTCCTGTACGGAGTCGGTATTGAACACAAGCTGCATTGGATATGTCCGACGATAGGGCTAGGTCTTTGTGGGTTGATGCTTTGTCAAGATGGCTCGAGGAGAACGACGGCTAATGAAATTTACCAGTGAACTTTTCCATCACTCAAGCCACAAATATTTGCTTGGTGTACGTCATCGACGCATATCGACCAGTTGCAGGCGAAGTCACCCTGGCTGTAATGGGGTTCAAATGTGAGCGTTTATCTGCAGACCAACTTGACGCATGGACGGAAAGGTTAACAATGAACAGCTCTCTTTGGTTTCTTGTTGTCATTTGAGACCAATCCTTGGATCAACGCGAGCGGCTATCAAAACGCATATGGGGCCATGGCTGGTATTTCCGCAGGCGTTCTGATCTTGTGGGTTCCTTTATACTTCTGGGGCAAGAAGATCAGACATGCGACTTGGAAGTGGAGGGTGTTGTCGTTTATACATTGGAATGACGATCGTGAGGTGGGAGAATAGCCGGAAATTTCGTGGCTTCCATGTATATTGTGCAGACTTTGTGGATTTGGCATGTGTGGTTGAATCAAAGTTGCAGCAGGCGTTCAGACGGGGTAGTACTTGTGTACCAAAGAAGTGGTTGGCGATGCAGGAAGCTTGGTGGAGATGCGGGGCCCCGCACTTTTTAATGGGACTTGGGAAGTTGGGAGGAGACGGCTGAGCATTTGCATATGCAGAGCCGACATGGAGCAAGCCGTCGAGAACAGGGGCATCTGTGCCGACAACGGTCCCCCTCACTGGCGCCCCAGTCTCAACTCTCGATAGACTATCACGCATCTCTGAGAGCTCCCGGCATGGAGCAAGATAGTAGAGCCACTGCCAAGGCGTGCGATGCCTGCCGACGGCGTAAGCTGCGGGTACGTTGAGCATGGTACTCTCTCACATTGGCAGGACGAGAACGCTGACAGTTGGACAAGTGTCGACGGGATATTTCAGAGTTCTTGTCGGATCCTAGGTGCATTAGATGTGTGCGTACAGGGCTGCAGTGTACATATAACGATGAGCGACGACCAAGAGGACCAAAAACGGGAAGGTGAGTAGCTACAACGGATAATATCCATCCAGCCTCATCCAGGGACTCATATGATGTGGTAGTCGACTGAGAGAGCTCCGGGCCTCCCAAGCTATTGACTCTGGAGAACAGTCCTTTCTGCCTAGCTCATCCCGCCCCAGCCCTCCGGAGATCACGGGTTGGGAAGAAGAGATGTCTGAGGCCGGTGGACGTCGAGACCAGTCCACTGACCCTGTGCCGTATGAGTTCTCGGGAGATTATCTCGACAAGGTCGACCTCGAGCAAGCACACGGCGCTGATTCTATACCGCATGATTTTGGTCTGGACCAACTGCTGTTTGTCACACCGGATACTCTCCCATTTGATCTCGAGCCGGCCGCCCCCGTCTCCGCACTCAAAGAGTCCGAACTTAGTGTCACTTCTGCTGCAATCGCACACGGAAATAGTATCGACTTTTCAAAAGATGCTATTGTTGCTCAGGTATCACAGTGTTTTTCTACAGTATACCAGCGCTATCCGCTATGGCACCTGGACACGCTCGTCGGCAAGATTGAGCGCGAGGAATGTGCCACCGATAACGAGTTCCGTTCTACCTGCCTCTCGATATATCTCCTCAACGAGTCATCCCTATTCCGCAAAAATCCACATCACGGCTCAACTCGCCTTTTACGACTAACAGAAGAGCTTGAAACGACGCGCGCTCACTCCAACAGCAACCACTTTGCCGATTGCCCATCCACGGCGTCTGTCATTGTATCATTGGTATTGTTTATTGCGCACAGTGTGACTGATAGACATAACCTCGCATTCTACTATCTGAATGAAGCGGCGGGGCTGCTTCGCCTAGTCGACATCGACGCCCTCGACTCTCTCGAAAGAGCATTGTACAGACGCCTAGAAGCCATCCTGTTCGTCACAGAGTCCGCATCAATGCCGGTCTACGGAAAGCTACGAAAGAACCGAATGATTCCCTGTCCCGAGAACTTGGGCGCCCTCGAATCCTCAATGCGGTGGTACACGGAGCAACACCGGCCAACTTGCACACTGCCGGCAGCCCTCTCCGATATCCACCTCGGCTCTCTGGACAACAAAGCTGTCAACTTGCTACACGCCCTCGTATGCCTGTACAACGCCACGACAGCCGATGAAATCTCCAAAGTATCCGTCCCCAGTCCCGCCGTGTCCGAAATCATCGAGCAAGGTGTCCTCGGGAGCACATCTCTCCAAGCAGCCGACGTGGATATAACGCGCCAGTGGCAGCTCTGCCTCCGCTGGCGAGACGTCTTGTCGGCTCGCAAGTCCAAGTCGTGCTCTCGGTCTACTCCTGGGGCGGCATATACGCTCCAGATAATGGGACTCACGGTGCTTCAGTACAGCAGGGCACTACGACCGGGGGAGTGTAGACTCGTGGGGCACGGGAAGTTGGCGAGTCTTGCGACCGCGATTCACGATATATCCTCGAATTTGGGCATTCTCGCGAGTTGTTCAAGTGTTATTGGGGACTTGATCCGGACAGTGTGTGAGACGGATTATGAGGGCTTCTTTGCGCCGCAACTGAGTTTGGTGCAGCTGTGTATCGAGACGGTCCCTAGGCAGCTAACGTTTGGGGAGCAGGATGTGCTCGTGATTGACGAAAGGCAGTGACTGCCTTGTGTGGTTTTCAATCAACTTCACTTGTTTGAAGCACTCTTTTGTTTTCCGAGTCATTGATTGCACGTATTGGAACTGCACAACGCATCTGCCCGATACACGCTGGAAAAGGGGTTTCATTTCTCATTGAAGTAATAGCCAAGTTTTCAGTCTATTTAGAGACTAACGTGAAAGAGAGAAAATACTACAGCGAGTTCAAAGCATAGTCTAGAATTCTAGCCTGGTTTCTGAAAAACTGCCGAGCAACATGCGTTGTCGGCGGAAACAACAACCCATGCGGCACGCCGGGAACCACGTCCAGCTGCGAGTCGATCCCTGCGTCCCTAATCCGGAGAGAATATGCAATGCCCTCGTCTCGCAGAAAGTCCCTTCCCGCGACAGTGATATGCACAGGGGGGTGGTTGGCGGGTATGTCGGCACTCAACACCGACACATGGGGGTTGAGACTCTTGTCTCCCGCGTATTTCCCTATGGGCCACGTTAGTCTTGCCGCCTGCTCGCCGTCATGTCGGCATGCCCTACCTATCAGGATGGCCGCGGCCGCGGTTCCCAGCCCGGCACCAAACTTGTTGCTGCTCGATTCATCGGCCTTGAGTGTCATCGGGTACAGCTGCGGATGACAGGTTGCCGGCACGACTAGGTTGACGTGGCGGATACGTGATTCCTCGTGCTCTTCCGCATCGCGAAGTGCCACTGCGGCGGCGAGGTTGCCTCCTGCGGAGCAGCCCCATATCGCGATCCGCGCCGTGTCGATGCCATACTCTTGTGCGTGGTCGAGGGTCCATTGGACGGCCTGATAGCAATCGTTGAGGGGGAGTGGGAATTTGTGTTCCGGGGCGAGGCGGTAGTCCACGTTTATGACAATGGCTCTGAGTTCTGAAGCGAAGAATATCGCCAGGTCTGTTTCGAGGCGTTATTAACATGTAAACTGTGCCTTCTAGACTAGCTCACTTGCCTTCGTCTACTTCGGGATAGCCATGAATCCAGCCTCCACCATGATACATGATAAGCGCGGGCCTACTAGGCACAGACTGCATGTCTTCTGCGGCGGGAACATACACCCTCACTCTGAAAGTGGCATCATCAGATCCATAGGTAATGGACACGTTCTTGATGGCAATCTTTGCAAGGGGTCGTCTGTGACAATCTGCTGGCGGGCCTCGGGGGAACTTCATAATCACTTCATCTACCCATTTCCTGGCAATTTTCTCGTCAAATGGGTCTGCGAGGGCGGTATTTGCATACGGAGGCTTGGAGATGCCCTGGTCATGTTAGTGACGAATCGTTGGAATGAAGCTGAACTTGTAGTAGGCTCGGGTTGGAGTCACCTGTATGTAATCTTGGTCTACGGCCTCAATGATGGATGAGTTCTTGTTCTCTTGCAGACCCATTTTCTCAGCCTCGGCCAATCTAGCTATGGACTCGCGGAGAGTTGCCTCTAGGCTCGAGTTCGGGGGATCTGACGCAGCCACGGCAGCCATCGTGGTTTGGTTGGAGTACAACAAAAATGCTCGAATCGAAAAGAAGCGCTCCAGAAAGTGAAGGATACACAGACAACAGACCGCAGAATATGAAAAGTACAACAACAGAAATCCGTCCACATAAATACGTATACGCCCAGAAGTTAGAGATGCTGACCTCGACACTCGGCGTTTAGTCTAGATATCTCCCCACGATGTGGCGCCGCCACGCGGAGTCGGCGTCTTGCTCGGAAGCAAGCTCGGGGAAACTTGGTTGACTCGTTCCTGGGCGAAACCATCCAGGACACGGGGTAGCAGCATGGCGATTGCAATTATTAATTTTGTCAATGGCTTTGTTTCATTTGGGCCGTAGCTGATGACTTGCGTTTGTCATATTTAGCTAGTGGTCTGCTGTTGCTGCGTTTCCACATTGGTTTGTGGTGTAGTTGCCTACTTCAACAAACATCTTCCTGCAAGTTGACGCACCCATACTGTAAACATGGACACAGTCGAGTCGAAGGAGGTAGCGACTTCTCATGTCGATGATGCGTATGTTGCTAAACAGTCCATGGTGATGGATGGAAATGGCCGCTGGTGGAACTGGCGCGTTATTGCGAATCGTGAGTCCACCCGTCCCTCCGTCCCTCCGTCCACCCAGTCCGGTTTTGATCATCCGTCGTTGACTTGCTTCGTGCTTCAAGTCGTTATTGTCGGTTTAGCCATGGGGCTATTCGGCTACGACAATGCCTTCGCCTCGCCTCTCGTCTCGCTGCCTTTATTTGTGGAGAGATATCAAGGCCCTGGATTCCAGGGCGCTCTCGTGTTTTCGGTGAGACCTCGCAGGTCAAAGACAGGAAATGGGAACTTGATGCTGACGGGTGGGATATAGGCTAGAAACTTGAGCCTCATCATCTGCATACCCCTGGTTGGAGCGGCCTGTGGTGCCTTTGCAGCCATCCCTGTACAAAAGCATCTTGGCCGCAAGGGGGCGTATATACTCGCATATTCACTTCTTTGCGTCCCAAGTTCGATATTGCAGGTGTTTGCTCCAAATTTAGGGGCCCTTGTTGTTGGACGTTTTGCAAACTGTACGCAACCATAACCTCCACAACTCCTCTTCTCTTCACTACTAAGTTCTTGTTTGGCTTCAGACGTGGGCGTCAGCATCCTCACGAACGTCTGTCCCGTTTACCTATCTGAACTGATCCCCGCCAACTTCCGCGCCAGAGCTGTCGGATTCACTGTTGCCGGTAGCGGCGTGCTCTCCGTCGTCGCCACAGTCGTCGTATGGGCCACGGAAAAACGTAGAGATCAGTGGCAGTACAAGATCCCGCTCCTCGTCCAAGCTGTCTTCCCTGCCACGCTCGCCCTGCTATCTCTTTTGCTGACAGAGTCTCCTGTCTGGCTGCTCGCCAAGGGGAGACATGATGATGCCCGAAGGAACCTGCTCCTGCTCCGCGGAGGCAACGCTGCTCTTGTTGAGAAAGAACTTGCCCTGGCGGCTGCTGCTTTAAAGTCGCATTCCGAGCAGGTCAATGTGAATGTCTGGGAGATTCTGAAACCAGCGAACCTCGAGAGGACAATTTCTGCGTCTGCGCCGTTGTGCCTGAGTCAGGTCGGCGGCCAGATTCTAGTTTTGACGTATTCGACGGTTATTCTGGTACAGAGCGGCGTAGCTGATCCATTCAAGATCACAATCATCATCTTTTTGCTGCAGTTTCTGGGAACGCTCATTGGACCATTTCTACTCGACAAGATTGGGCGGCGGCCGGTTGCCTTGGCGGGCTTTGTGGTTTTATTTGCGATTGACGTTGTGTGTGGTGCGCTGGCCTGCGCTGGGCTGGCAACTCAGTCTCAGAGGATCGGGTTGGCCGCGCTGTGTATTGTCTTCAGCTTCATCAACGCCACTTGTTTTCAGTCGATGTAAGTGATGTCCCTGTCAATATAGCATGGGAGTGTACATGGGTGGTGCATGCGAACTGACAAACGGATAACAGCGCGTACGTCTTACCAACGGAGGTTCCGACATCACGACTTCGTGAGTCAACCATGGCTTGGACCACGTTTTGGAGCTACACTACGGCTATTATTACCACATTTGCTGTTCCTCAAATCACCAACGCAGATGCGTAAGTTTGCCGTTCCCCCAAACCTGACATACGTCGGTTGGCTGACAAGGTCCGTCTGATAAGGGCCAACCTGGGAGCAAAGGCTTTCCTCATCTTCGGAGGCTGCATGTTGATAACGTTGGTTTGGTCGTACTTTTACTTGTGAGCTTACGGCTAAACCGTCGCCCGAGGTGGTTCCCAAGTCCTGACCTTTTCGTAGGCCTGAAACATCAAACCGGACTCTTGCGGAGATCGACGAGTTGTATGCTGAAAGAATTGCGAAGCGACACTGGAAAGGTTAGTGGTTTGCAGGGTAGTGACGGACTCGTGATATACTTGAGCATGCTAATCATTAGCAGGGTACAAATCTACTGCAAACGAGATTGATAATGACAATGCGGACCGCTAGAGATTTCATGTTGGAAGCCAGAAAGAAGATCAGTGGGAGGAGGGACAAAGCAGAGTCTCCACTCCACATGGCTGTAGCGCAATGTGACATGGAAGCTTCAGCCAAAATTTGAAGTCAAGTTGCATGTGAGTCTGGTCAATAGCTCAAGGCCATGCGGCGGAAGCTAGCGGACATTATTGGAGCCTGTGGATCCACATGCGGCGATGCAGCGTGCAGCGTGCACTCTAAGTAATCATGCTGCAACCACGGAGTAAAACTAGTAGTAGTACTACCAGTAGTAATGACATCGAAGCTCAATAAACGGCAGGGAGGGCTAAAAGTTGAGACGAGCACTCTAATTACTCCGTAGGAGCGCCTCAAAATCACTGTCTGGCGTCTGGAGGCCGAGGGGCGGGCGCTGGGCACTTGACCGTGAGTCCGTGACATTGGTCAACGACTCTGGCTTATGACAGGCCTCCAGCGCTGCACACTGACGCAAGCGTGATCGCGTGCCCAAGCTTCCCCTCCTCAATGCGCGACGTCTGCAATCATCTGCGAACAGAGGTCGTGCGTCTTTGCTTGTTGGCCATGGCCTGATGGCCCAAGACACTGACTGCTGTGGCTGAGCTGAGGCCCTCGAGTTCCAAAATTTAAAAACTGGTCCCGGGGTCTGGAGTCTGGACAGTGGAAACAGGACGAACCCATCCGGGCGGTCAACGGCGCCTTCAAAGCGTCAACTGGTCGTGTGTTGGTTCGAGTGGCTCACCTAAGCTAAGGCCCTCCGTGCCGACGACAACGCACCAGACCCCGAAACCTCGTGGCGTGGCGGCCTACACATCTCACCTTGTTGCATAATTTCGAGCACATAGTCTTCCTCTTACCTTCATTTCCCCTTTTCTCTCTTTTTTGCCCGCGCAGCATACACCACAACCCAAGTTTGAAGACGGCCTCATGTTCCAACATGTCGAGTCCTCGAGGCGGGTCAAGCCCCGTCCATGACGACCATCATCCAAGGCGACCGGAATCTACATCTACAACTTCATATGCAACCGGTGGCCCACAGCACTGTCGTTGGAAAACAGCAGAGTTCCATGATCAAGAATGTTCCCGGTACTTTGACTGCCCTTCCCACGTAGTTGAACGGGAGCTCTCCGATTCAGATCATGTAGAGCAGAGTCAGCGAGCCGATAGTCCAGAAGCAGGACCAAGCGCCGGCATACAGATCAGCGACACTGAAGATGCACCTCGGCGTCCCTCGACCGATGACGAGAGTAATACACAACCCGAGTCCGGCCACTCGCATGTGCAAACACAGACTGCTTTAGAGTCTGAAGCATCTGCATCCCACCGCCAGTCAGCCATACAATCAGCCTCACTCAGTACCGCCCAGTCCGCCGACGAGCATCAAAACGAGCCCCCGGTGGTTCTTCCCATTCGATCGTCTTCTATTCCTATTCCACCACCATCACAAAGTCGAGAATCTGCTGTCCGGGAGGAAGCAGCAAGAGCACAAGTGCACAACATGCCAGATCCAAGGGTTAACTGGGCAGACCTTGAGTCTCGTTATCGAGGCGCATATCTGCAAACGGCTCATGAAGGCGAACACCAGGCCATGGAGTCTTTGCCTCGTACAATGATACGCCCACGGGATGTGCACCACCCTCCTGCTCCGAGCAGACGGCGCGAATCTGAGGGCAGACGGGCATCACAGGATCACCGAGTGAATCGACCTAGAGGCGACGGCAGCGTCACACCCGAGTTTGTGCTCCCTAGGTGGCAGCCAGACGCAGAGGTTACTTATTGTCCTATTTGTCATACCCAGTTTAGTTTCTTTGTTCGCAAGCACCACTGCAGGTACGCCATCATGTTTCCCAGCCTCCGACGGCGACGAATGTGGAAGCTAATACAGATATAAAGAAAATGCGGCCGAGTCGTCTGCGCCACGTGCTCCCCGCACAGGATTATCATACCGCATCAGTACATTGTGAGGCAGCCGGGATCCGATATCTCGATGCCTCCCAGCTTGCTTGTCGACGCGATGGGGGCTGGCTATCTTGACGTGAATGGGTTATCAGGAGGCGAGCGCGTACGGCTCTGTAATCCATGTGTACCAGACCCCAACACGGCACCACCTGAGAGTCCGACACCATCTATTGGGTCTCCGCGATCACCACATCAAAGATCGCGTAGCAGTTTCGGACCTTCACATGGCGCCGGACATCCATCAAACAGATATGGGACTGTATTTACGGGAGGAGACAGCCGCGACCCTCTGCAGTACCACTATGCCAGAGCCAGGAGCATCACCATGGTATGTTTTGTTTTCTTCCGTTTTCAATAGCACGACGAGGCGGATAGCCTGGGCTAAGAGTGGCGTGCACATAGAACCCATCCGTCCAGAGTTCACCTAATCTCGCTCCATCCAGCCATCGTATGAGCGCGCCGCATGTCCATCCATCCAATCTAGAGCGCTTCTTAACCGCCGGCCCGTCCAGCATCTACCCATCCTCCTCACGCCACAGACACAGTTCATACGGCTACGGAGAAATTTCATCATCATCATCTCGACAACGCGCCCTGCCGCACCCTCCTCAAATTGCTGAGGAGGACGAATGCCCTGTGTGTCACCGAGAGCTCCCCCTTCGCTTGTTGCCAGACTCTGAAGCCCTTCGAGAAGCACACATCAACAAGTGCATCCGGGACCACAGCACATATGGCAGTCTCCGTCCTCCCGAGGGACAAGAATCGTCGGCACCGCCAATGTTATCTCGCAGGACCGGCATGTACATATACCCAGCAACAGAGAAGGACTGCGTCGACGACGCAGAGTGTACGATATGCTTGGAAGAGTTTACGGTGGGGATACCCATGGCTCGATTGGAGTGTCTGTGTCGATTTCATAAATCTTGCATATCTGCCTGGTTTGTTAACCACCCTGGTCGATGTCCGGTTCATCAGCATGATGGATTTGGGTTCTAGGCATTGGCAGTACAATGCCCCCCCCCCCGGATCGCCGTTGCAATTTAACACTGCCACGCACTCCTCTCTTATTGATTGTGGGGAATAGTTTTGGTCATTTCAGTCGTTCATGGTTCGTTTATAAGGCGGTCAATATTCTAGGCTTAGTGACTCCTCTCATTTCGGATGCGATACATTGGCGCTATCGCTGGGTTTGTCAAAGCTGGGCGTTTTGGGGAGGATTCGCATCGGGAAATTATAGTTGGCGAAGAGCGAGACTGAGATTTAGAGTACAGAGGGTCAGGACTGCATCTCGAGTGTGAATAAACGATATCAATTTGCTTAATAATGTACTTGGCATGTAACCAGACACAGCCAGCCAGTGAACAGTATTCGGCGAGTTGGATATATTGCGCTAGGATATCGGAGGGGTCGCTTCTCCAACAAAACAAAACAAAGAAATATACTTAAGTTAGGTACGTACGGTATTTTAGGTGGGCATTCGACCCGACTACTTACTACTTCCCTAAGTAGGTACCTAAGGTGGCTACCTACTTAAGTAAAGTAAGGTTGCTACTTATAAGTACTTGTGCATCACGCATGCTGCTGGTGGACATGGTTCCGTGTGCCGAGTCCCAGCATCATGGTGAGCCAGAACATCTGATACGTACTGGTGGAAGGCTGCATTGTTGCGCAAATCAAGGGCTCAAGGACCGCCAGACCAGGTGTCCGTTTCATCAATATCGACTGTGGAGTAAAGATCTGAGTACAAGGGTCGCACACATGGGCTAAATGTTGATGCGCTGCACCAGACGACCTGGTGGCCGTGGTGGCGGGTTGTAGGTGTGATGACGATCGGCCAGGGTCTCCATAGAGCAGAGGACACAACGGCGTGGCTGACTGCGTCGAGAGATTTCGACATGGAGAATGGCTCCCGCAACCTTGTTGGCCTTGTTGGCCTTATCGGCGCTCGTCGGCGCTCGTCGGCACAGTCAACCAGATACTGTAGGTTCAAGTTGCATATACATACTACTAGTACTAGTACGTAGATGGTACTGAGGAGGGAGCGTATTGTGTAGAACATTGAAGTCAAATAACATTGACCAGACACGTGCGTGCTCTTGAGCTTTGCTGCTGGTTTAATGTTCAGCCCCCACTCCATACAGTATCTGCCCGGGACATGTGTGGTGTGCTGGCTGACCTCTCCAGCTACAGTGGGTGTAGTTCTGAGCAGTTGAGAACATTTGAACCGTGTGCAGCAACTTTAGAAGCGCCACTGCGCTACTCCACAGACCAGCCAGCCAATCAGTCCCTCCAGCCCCGCATGCGCCGCACTAGAGACGGGGAAGCTTGGCTAGGGAAGGCTGCGGCCGATGGGGCATCTCGTCAATGTTCAGCAGGGCCGGGGCCGTCCAAGCTGGAGGTTCCAAGGATATCTGCGAGGAGCTGGACCAGGTTACTTACAGGTAGCTAGGGTGCTTCGTGGGAACCAGGAACGGTACGGAGTACCGAGTACGGAGTATTCAAGAACAATTTGAAATACTACTATGGCCTCTGGTGGCTAGACATGGCCGTGGGAGTTGTAGTACGGACGGAGTAGTATGTGCCTGCATGGACAGGCGCCTGTGTGGAATGCATCAAGCAAGATGCGTAACTATTTACTTTCTTATTTTATTTACTAGTATTTACATCGTATATTTTATTCTACCGTCGACCTTTTTAGAAAGCCCGCGGCGTTGACTAGCTCCTAAAGGAGATTGCGGCTGGGGCAGTTGGACGGAATAGCGGCTTGGCCGTTGATGGAGCTTCAATATTGATACGGCCGTCCATTGCCCATGATAGAGGAGCATGCTGGGGCATGCTGGGCCTGCTGGACCATGGTCAGCGCCAGCATGCGAGACATGCCAGCGAAGGGTTGAAACAATATTGTATCGCTGAGGGAGTACTACTCCGTACGTACTCCAGTACGAGTAGAACAAATGTCACTCGGTCTTGATACTTCTACTACTACTAGTAGAACAGCTGACCCTTGACACTTTTCGGCTGCACAGGGCACCCAACTCAGTAAGGGCTTCAGTTGAACCGCTACGTAACTATGTACTCCGTCGCTCCTCCCAAATCCGATCACCCGGGGAGCCACTCGAACATCGAACCTCGATCCACTTTGCAGCTCTCCCACGGGCCAACTTTGGAAGTGATCCATCACGTCCGTCTTCTCTCTTCAAACCAGACACCACCAGACTGGCCAATTGGTCCAACTGCCTTTCGCTCGCCACCCCCCTTCTGCGATTCTATCTGCTGCTTGTTCCTCTCGGCTCCTCTCAGCTGTTCTTCGTCTGGTCCCCAAAGGCAAAAGCCCCCATGGCTCAGTTCTTCTAAACCCAACCCCCCCCCCCCCCCGGACCCCAACTCGTTATTCTACATCCATTCTACATGCAGTGTTGTAGGTTCAGGGTTCCCTCCCGCCGCCTGCATCACCCAAGCCGCGTCTAATTTGCTACGTAGTACTACGGACTTCGAACCAAGTAGCTGATAGCTGGTCCAGCCACAGCAATCGCAATCCCCGGCAGACCACTTGAGACTTTGCAGAATCTAGCTTTGTTGTCCAGATTCTTGTTCAGCCAGACTCCTCATCCTTCACAGCCGAGTTTCCACTGGCACGCCCTCTTTTTCTTGTCTTTTTTTCTTCTTTTCCTTTGTTTCGATCCCACTCTTGACAATTTTGTCTGGCTCTTTGTGTACCAGCAAGACCGCTTCAACCCCTCGCCATTGTCGCGACCAGAGACCTCAAATAAGCTGTCTCCTAAAATCTGTCAGCAACACTATTACACCTGGCAGTGACTCTATCGATCCAGCCTAGGTATGTCCTGCAAACGTCCATGCCCTACGTCCTGACTCTGGAGCAAGGATGATGTCCATGTTCCGGCTCATGTGTTGCTCTGCCCACTTTGCGCCTCTCTGCGCTACTCAGCTGTCGCAGCATTTGCATGAGCACCCCACGTCATCACCCATCAATTGATTTGATCCGTCACTCGTCACTCATTCCCCCCCAATTGCTTCCCGAGCTTCCTCGTCCCGTCCCTGCTAATCGCCCTCTTTTGCTAGCTACCAGTGCGCAATCTCAAGAGCCCTAGATACCGTTCTTTTGACCACCTACTCCCAATTGAAATCGACAGCATAGATTACCAGCATTTTTAAGCTGCCCTGGCTTTGCGCCTGTAGCCGGCGTCATGTCTGCCTTGCAGGAGCGTGAGCTCAAGCAGCAAGGCGCCATCGAGGCAGCCGAGGAGAACTTGGTCTCTCCCGAGCAGGCGGAGAAGCAGATGGTGGAAGAGGCCAAGAACGCCGGTATCCCTGCCTTCACTTTTGATCCAGATGCCACTCCAGAGCAAAAACGAGCTCAAGCTCGAGCTGTAAGCTATCCGCTTTTGCGCCCCCCCACAGCCATCCGTTGGTTCGCTGAGTGTTGGATGTTGAACCGTCGCGACCAGCGAAATGTAGGCATGTTTTTTTGGTCCTGAACCTGCTGCTAATTAGCTCTCTTTTCTCCCTCATTTACAGGCAATCCCTCCCGAACTTCAAAGGAGAAGGCGCCCCAAAGGTGCTGCCATCATCACCGATGTCGACGATGGCACTGGACCTGACGAGGTACTTCCCGACGTTGGGAAGGCTGGTGTTCTTGACGTCGCAAAAGATGCACAAGGCAAAGATGCACAAGGCACGATTGACGGTTCCCAAGAAGCTCCATACTCCCGCACCGGTTGGGCCCCCAAGTTCGGATGGGGTGGCGGCGTAATCGATGCAGAGAGTCTCCTGGATCATTCCACTTGGCTGGAGGGTAGATTGCCTCACAACCTTTACGGAGGTAAGATTTGACAACTTGGCAACTTCTTCTCTTGTAGCGAAGCCACAGAGCTCTTTACTGACCCGACTTGTGCCGAACCACCATAGACTGGTACCACAATACCGCATTGATTATCTTTGCTTGTATTTCCTCGTGGCTTGTCGCTGTTTTTGGCGGCGGCCTGGCCTGGATCATGGTTATCATGGCTATATGTTCCACATACTATCGAACCTCGTTACGACGAGTGCGTCGCAATTTCCGCGATGACATCACTCGAGAGCTTGCTCTGAAAAACCTCGAGAGCGATCACGAATCGCTGGAGTGGATCAACTCCTTCATGGTCAAGTTCTGGCCCATCTATCAACCTGTCCTTGCGCAAACTATTATCAATTCGGTTGATCAAGTTCTCAGCTCTGCAACTCCAGCTTTCCTGGACAGTCTGAAGCTCAAGACCTTCACCCTCGGCTCCAAGCCTCCTCGCATGGAGCATGTCAAAACTTATCCCAAAACCGAAGACGACATTGTCATCATGGACTGGAAATTCAGTTTCACTCCCAATGACACGGCTGATATGACGGCTCGTCAGGTTAAGAACAAGATTAATCCCAAGGTCGTGCTCGAGATAAGAATCGGCAAGGCCATGATTAGTAAGGGTCTCGACGTTATTGTGGAAGACATGTCTTTCTCCGGCATCATGCGACTCAAGATTAAGCTCCAGATTCCTTTCCCCCATGTCGACAGGATTGAAATGTGCTTTCTCGAACGCCCCACGATTGATTATGTCTGCAAGCCTCTTGGCGGCGACAACTTTGGTTTCGATATCAACTTCATCCCCGGTCTCGAGAGCTTCATCCTGGAGCAAATTCACGGCAACTTAGCGCCAATGATGTATTCGCCGAATGTCTTTCCCATCGAGATTGCAAAGATGCTCGCAGGCACCCCGGTTGACCAAGCCGTCGGCGTCCTTGCGCTTACCCTGCATGGCGCGCAAGGCCTCAAGAATACAGACAATTTTGCTGGAACAGTCGACCCATATGCTTCTATTAGCTTCAGTCGCCGTCAGGAACTCGCCCGAACCAAGACCATCGAAGAAAACGCCAACCCAAGATGGAACGAGACTCACTATCTCATTATGACATCCTTCAATGACACTCTCGACATTCAGGTATTCGACAAG